AAAGAAAAGAAAAGAAAAGAAAAGAAAAGAAAAGAAAAGAAAAGAAAAGAAAAGAAAAGAAAAGAAAAGAAATGAAATGAAATGAAATGAAATGAAATGAAATGAAATGAAATGAAATGCATGTCTTTGGAGTTCTGCAGCCACCAGTAAACAGAGAAGTCCAGCAGCAAAAAGATAGAAGGGTTTTTTTTCCTTCAGAGGAAGCGGACAGTGCAAAGAAAACAAAAATATAGAGGCCCAGCAAGGAAAAGTACAACTTGGAAAGGTGCAAGAGCTCTACATGTTAGCCATTAACAAGGAACAACAGAGAAGAAAAAAATCCCAGACAGAGGAATTAAGAACAGGCTCTGTAAGAGGAAAACATTGCCACATAACAGTAATAGCATAGAGTATAGTATAGAAGTAATAGTACACAAGTAATAGTAACAAAGTGTAGAGACAATAGTAATAGTAAAAGGCCCATGGGGACACATTTGCTGATGCAAAAAGGGTATAGAAATAAATAATCAGTTTCAAAGCAATCCAGAGTAACATCAAGTCCTAAGGCTGTAATTTCACACATGAAATAGTCAAAAGTTTTATTTTTCATTTTAAATTATTAATAATTTGATGGTGATACAAGCCTCCCACATACTCTACCAAGCTTCTCATACTTATTCAGACAGAAGGAAACAAGAGATTCTGTGTCAAGTATGGTAACTGCAGAATTACAGTGTCAAAAGTATTGATCAAAAAGATAATGTCCCTGAAATGTAATATAAATTGAACAAAACCAAATGAATCCAAGACAACTGTCTTCAGATGATCTGTGTTTTCATAGATTCTTATTTAGCCACTCAATGTAGTTATTAGCCATTCTATGTCCTACATTTAGGATGACAGGACCTGCAATAAACGTTAGAACACCATGAACAGCATTCTCAACATGTTCATGTATTACTGGAACTCCTGCTTCCCTAAGTCGTGAGACATAAATGATTCCATCATCTCTCAAGACATCATGTTGACAAGTAATGACATATGTGAGTGGTAAGCCCTGAAGCTTGATGTCATCGACTAAAAGTGGTGCTGTTCTTGGATCCAGGATTCCAGGGTATTTTTGTCCAATTTTGGAATTTCCATGTGATGGGGCAGTATAAATGTGTCCTTTTTTAAATCTTTCAGGTAGCCAGTGACTCCAGTTTACAAATTTAAAAAGATGGTTGAACTCTGCAGGAACATGTTGGTTGGTTTCCAGAACTTTGAAAAGAGAGTCATCTGATGAAATATATTCACTCAAGAATCTGATCACTAATGATTTAGTCAGAACTGGCATGTTTTTATTATCCTGATAGGAAGGCAATTCCAGATCAACAGTCTGAAGAAAAGGGTAAAATAAAGCTTGAATCTTGAATTTAACTTTGACATCAGGGTCATCTAGAAGCTAGAAAACAAAAATATTTATTGGAAATATTTTCCCATGAAAGATGGATTATTTAATATGTTTAGTATTTCACAATGTAAGCAAAAATAAACATTAAAAATTCAAAGCTTATACCTTCTCTACCTCTTTTACTCCTTCAACAGCTCAATTAAAAACATCTTTTCAGATCTATTAGGATTCCCAAGGTTGAATGGTTACTTCCCAATGGCTGGCCACGATGCTCCCTAATCTCCTCCCTATAATAAGTCTTACACCAAGTTCTGAACATCAGAAGTTTTCAGAGTCAATGGATATAATTCAGGATCAGTAAGCATGCTAAGGTTTTCAGTCTAAGACTGAATAAGTTTAGATTTGCTGTACTGCTGGAAATCAGTGGGGACTCCTTTTTTCCCAATGCCTTAACATAATGTTAGAGTCATCTTCTTGAGCTCCCAACTTCTCCTTTATTTTCCCTGTTTTGATCTATTGTCTTTAAACACTGAGCAGGAGTGAATAGTGATCTAAGCTGATGGAGCTGTCAATGGGAAGTAGGATGTTTCAGATCTAAGCTACCTGCCATACAGCTACATAGAAGATTCACTCAATAGAACTAGCAAAAGCACTGGATATTAAAGTGACATTTAAATGATTAGTATCAAAATTATTTATTGTTTCTTTGAAACAGTAGTTTGAAACAAATTTCAGAATTTGGCATTGCAAAACATTATGCATTGGCTGCAAACATTCTTCCTGGGGATAAGGCCATGGTTTACCAACTTCCTTTTGCAAGAAATCATTTCTACATTGTTTATCAACTCTTTCACCCCAAGAATTAGACAAGAGAGTTTTTCATACTGTAGAGTAGTGTTTCTCAACCTGTGTTTCTCAAACTTCACATGAAAATACTAAATTTATTTTGATGGTGTTTTTGAGTTTGCTTTATTCTTGGAAATATGGGGCTAAAGTTACAACTTTCAGTCATACTAAAGCCTCCCTACCTTCCTAATCTGAAAATGCACCATGGGAGAATGAACTTCTCTTGGGATTTAAGACTGGTGGGAAACCCAGGCTGCAGTCCTCTGGAGACAACCTCCCTCAGTCACCTCATAACTAAGGTATGCACAAGAACAACACAATACAACATAACATATTTCTCCTTTTTTCCCTCTGATAAATCTCATAAATATGCAGATGAAATTTCAGCTCAGCATTACTTTATGAACCATATGTCAGACCCTACTTTTTTATAATTACTAAGTCAATCTGAGGTTCTTATTTCAATTTCATCCTTTTAACTGTAATAAATTACATCCTTTAAATGTAATAAATCAAACAAATGTAATAAGCAAATATAACTGTGGAGTCCTTGGGGTTCTCTGGTAAATATAAATTATATAAACAGAGAGCAAACCCCACCCTCTTCCAGCAGTGAAGATGTTACATAGTTGGGTAATGAAACATTTGCAAGAAAACAGCCAAGCTCAGAGAATCCCAAGAACTCCACAGTTCAACCCTGAGCTACACATATTCTTTTCTATTTTCAGACAACAGAGGTTCAATTAACATGTATAATTCCATTCTGGATTTATTTACTTTCAAATGGATACTACTCACCTTCTGGGTTACAGCTGCAGCTAAATTACCTCCTGCACTGTCTCCTGCAATGCAGATTCGGCTTGGCTCTACGTTATATTTCTCAAGAATGCTGCTTTGTAGAAAATACTTTGCTACTGAGTACACATCTTCAAATGGAACCGGGAAACGATATTTGGGGGCCAGTCTATAACTTTTTGGAATTAATTAAAAAAAGAAGATGACAGAAACATATAAAGTCGCTGTTTTTGTAAAACAAAATTAATTTATCATTTGATTTATACCACTGATACTAGATTAATTAAGGCAATTTACTTCCATATACAAAGCTCTATGAATTGGCCTTAACTTTTTGCATTCCAGACTTATTTGTGTGCTAAATGATCCATAGAATTTTATTCTCTTTTATTGACTAACTCTAATCTGGTCTGGGTTTTTTTCCCATAGAACAATTAAGTAATAATTAACTTAAGATTCAGCTAAAGCCTAGATCATAAAGTAATGGGGAATAATTTGAGACAGATTATCCTTAGCTTTCAAAAATACGATTAGCTTTTTAAAAAGCTGCTGTTAAGCAAGACTGACATAATGGTCTGTGGGAATACCCTTGAGAGAGAGGAGGAGCAAGCGCCACAGCCAGGGCAACAGTCGGATAAGAGACATCTCAGCCCAGAGAAGGAATGGGAGTGTGGAAAGGCACCCTCCCCAGTTCCCTGGAAAGTAAAGGCAAGGGAGGAGAGATGAGCTTTTAGACTTGCAAGATTCTGATAGTGTAACCTTACAATAGGTTAGTACTGTAGAGTAGTGTTAGTACTCGTGGTTTTGGTTTCCTGTCTGAATTACCTCAAAGGGCTGACACTGGGATGATTATAATTTTATACTGTGAAATGAGGTTTGAAATGAGGTTTTTAGTCTGTTGAAATTATGTTCAGTGTGTATTTTCATTTTATGTATTTAAGTATTATTATGCCACCCTCCAATCATATTCTTTTTATTTACTCTTTGCAAATAGAATAAAATGGTTATAATGTAAACATCAAGAAACAAATAACCGAAATCCTCCTCTAAAACCATGAGACAATAAATATATAACTAAAATAATTATCCATTATAAATACAAAATAATACTTATAGTTCAGCACATGTAAGGAAGTACAATTTAGCAACCAATAACATTAAATATATATATTTTGCCTAAAATACCACCAAAACTCCCTGAAGCCATTGGGCTTTAATGTGCCAGTTTGTGCTATTAATTAATTTTTTTTGTTTCTAAAAAAAAATCACATCACACATAACAAAAAAATTAATGAACAAAAATGTCAACTTCAAGCACCATTCTTACTCGACTGACACCACAACAGCATTTAGTCTTTCTGATGTCCATCTTGATAAGAGGTCATAGGATTTCATGGCTGTGAAAAATAAGCAACAAAGCATGTTTTATTACTCTTGCAATACAAATACATAGTAGGGTTATACATGCTTCAAAAATAATATGGAAAAAGTGCTTTGGATGTGCACAAGAGTGAGCCTAGCATGTCCACACAGAAACCTAAAAAAACAGGATGCTTTTATGAATAGCAGAAAGGTGCCTTTCTCATGTTCAGCCTCCACACCCCTAATTAACTGTTCTCTGTTTGTCCTGGGAGTAACTTTCTGGAAACTTTCCATCTCTTATCTCTAATCTTTCCATGAAACTCTTTCCAGTGTTTCCTAATTTTTGCAGCTTCAAGACCTGTGGCTGCCATTTCCCAGAATTCTGCTGCCTGAGGAATTCTGAGAATTGAAGTTCACACATCTTAAAATTCCCGAGGTTGGGAAAACTGCTCTAATCTCTACAATTCAGTCCTTCCTTGGCAATGTCACAGCTCCTGCTGAGGGTGCCAAGAAAGAGTGCCAGGCCAGAAAAGCAAGTAGTCAACAGGATGTGAGGACCTTTTAAGTGGGTTTTGAATGCTTTCATCTTTAAGTTGGAGTAGGATACTTTTCCATTGATTCAGCAGTTTTAGTGTGCCTGGGGATGTCTTCCTTCATGCTTGTGAAACTCCATGCCCTTTCTGATTTTAATTAAGGGGAAGGGGGGGTTATTTTGTTTTTGTTTTTTCTAATGGAAAACTAGCATGCTACCACACAGCCTCAAGCATAATCTTTATTTCTGAGAACGCTTCTTGGTCCTACATCCTAGAACCATCTTTAGAAAATAAAAATAATGGGATGGCAGCAACTCAGTATTTTGTTTCCCCCACTGCCCAGATTACATTGGTAAACTAAAGCTGGTAGATGACTAAACTGGCAAAAGCTAGAGAGGTGGTGAGGAGCAACCTCATCAATCTACCTTTTGACAAATGTGAAAGTTATGCCTTCTGTGAGGTTCATTTTATGGCAATCATCAGGACAGGTTTTAAAAACTAATTTTCTAATATGATCGCTGGCCCAAGAAGGTTGGATACCTCTGTAATACCTCAGTGAAAGCCCTGGGATATCAGAATAAACAGATACATTTTTCATTGGAGACCCACATTAGTGGAATAAAATGCTGCTGCTTTGGAGTCCTTGGGGTTCTCTGACTCCACAGTTCAACCCTGAGCTACAAATATTCGCCTCTATTGGTACACTAGTGCTTACTTGCTGATCCTATACACCATCCACCTCCATGAATGTAAATCACAGCTCTTTTCAAGACATCTGACTGCTCTGTAGGGATGTAAAGACGTACTGGAACATGGTTAAATTTTGCCTCTGTTACAGTAACCTTTTCATCAGATGCAGGTGGTGTATACTGGATATTTGTGATCATCATTAGAACATCCATATAGTGTGCAAGACCCAACTTCTCCACAATCATGCCCTGGGAAACAAAAGGAATGTTAACAGTCTTGTGCTAAGCAAAGGCACCATAGTAATCTAAGCTCCCTTTCTTTCTCCATAAACATTGATCAGCATAGTTCAGGATTTATATTGCCATCGTGATAAGTAATCACTTATAGCAGTATTTCCAATCTTGGGAACTTTAAGATGTGTGGATTTCTGGCTGGGGAATTCTGACAGTTGAAGTCCACACATCTTAAAGTTGCTAAGGTTGAGAAACACTGCTTTATAGCATTAAAGTGCAGAATTTCCCCCTGCCTTTGTACAAGAGAACAGAGGACAATTATACTGTCAGGTGACACATATTTATAAAAACGCATGTTATGTACAGAAAAGTAGCCATTCAGGTAGATGGTGTTAATTTGTAAAACAGAGATGGAATGCTTTTTCTGGGGCTGAGGACTGACCAGGCTAATAGTTAGACTCCAAATAGTGGATGAGTCAGGAGAAAAAATAATTGTAGTGGATTTCCATTTAACTGTTACTAAAATTAAATATAGCTAGGGTAATTACTGTATGCCATGTATGTAATAAATTTCACTTCTATCAACTAGGATTTCCAGTTTGGTAGTAACTTTGGGAAAGCCCTGGGGTCACACCCAAAGCTTTTGAAGGGAAATCACCTTTATAAAGCAGCAATAGATTCACAAAATCAAGTTACAGCAGTGAAGCTGGGAAACGAGGAAGCTGCCTTTGATTAAGTCCAGCCCTTCATTCCTCTAGATCAGTACTGTCCACATTAACTATTAGTAGCTGTCTGGAATTCAAGCAATTAATTCCTACCTGGAAACACTGGGGATTGAATATAGGACCTTTCCCCACAGGATATTATTTTTTCCTAACATAAGGTCTCTTAATTGCCTCTTCTTGTCAAACTTCTGATTTCTCTTCAGAACCTATAAATCTTTTGCCTTTTCTATTTTGCTACATTTTCCCCTTTCCTGCAGTGATGGCTGCTTCCACAAGGCTAAGAACTCTGAACCCAAAATTTGTCAAATTATCCATTGTCGTTTTTATCACAAGTTAGTAGAAAGACGTATCTTAGTAGCAAGTGGCTGTACATATCAAAAAGATTGGGCTTGAGCTTTAACTAAGGCAAAACTACAAAAGATCAGAAAATACTTCCAATAACCTTCCACCACAGAGGACATCTCTATGTGGCTAAAGGTTATTTTCTCATAGACTTTTATGACTGCCGTGAACAGAGATTTCAACTAGCTTTTATAAAGCATGGTAACTAAATGTTGAAGGAAACACCTGTTCCTCCCATAAATCCCAGTGTCTATCTGACAAATATGACATTTTTTTCCCCTTCCTTGTGCAGCTAGGGACAAAGGGAAGAACAAAGCTAAAACTATAGGTCATCAGATGGTTCCTATAAACTGTGATGTCCCTGATCTGATAGAAATTAAAATTTTCCTTTGGCTATTGTTAGAGTTTCTATTTGTTGTTATTTTCATTGCTGTTGTTGTTGAGACTTGCAAGATTAATATCAGCTCTTTGAGGTAGTCCAGACAAGAAGCACCAACTATGAGTACTAATGCTACCTTTATTGTAGGGTTATAGCAACAGAATCTTGCAAATCTGAAAGTATATCTCTCCCACTTCACCTTCACAGTCTAACTAGAGGGGGTCCCTTCTGAGATGTTTGCCATGCCCCATTCCTTCTGCAACCCAAGCTGTTTCATATCCAACCATTGCCTAGTCTGCAGCTCCTCCTTCTCCTCTTCTCTCTCAAGGACATTCTCACAGACCATTACAGTATGGCTTGGTGGAAGAGCAAAAGAAAATAGAGGAGAAAGGATGGGAGAAGAATAAGAAGGCAAAAAAACAGAAAGCCTTAAGAAGTTAACTTAATTAAGTTAAGGACTTCAGGGTCAGGATATGTCCAGAAGAAAAATCAGACAAAGCAATGACCCAAGGCAGGAAGAATGCTGATGAAGGCATGCTCTATGAGGTAATACCAAAGAAGAGAAGCTGTAATAAGTTATCTGGCAGTCCACAAGTATAAAAACTCCTAAGTAAACTAACCTGGGAAGGAGAAGAAAGTCGAAGGGAGAAAGAGAACAGTCTTCTCACTTCCACCACCCTTTGTATGCCGAGTCAAAGATGGCAATAATTGCTAGGGGCCGGAGAAGAGAGCCATCTAGAGGGGCTCAGGAAAGAACCAAAAAGCACCTGACAGGAATCCACAAGCACCAGGACAAGAAGAGAATGAGAGAATTTAGCACTCACCCAGTGAATACACTGAAAAAGGTTGACATGTACCAGACACCAGATGCAGATGAGAAAATCCTCAGAAAGGCTTTGGGGAGATGTGTCATGGGAAGAAAAAGACACATTATTGCTTCAAAGAAAGGCCAGCACCAGCTGCCCTGGAGAGAACCCCATGAGAAACTCCAAGGAGAGGCTGAAACGACCCCAGCATTTCAGGTACCCAGAAATCTGAAATAGACACTAGAAGTAGCAAGCAAGTGACTCTGGGAAGGGAGAGAAAACAGGGGAAATAATAAAGTAATAAATCCATAAAAGAGGAAAGAAAGTGTTAACAAGAGCTAAATTTTAATGGAGGAGTAAGAACATGAGATGTGAAGTGAAGAACTCAGTATTCAGGCAGAGAAAGATTCAAGGTTAAAAGTTGAAAGCTAACTATAGAAATTATAATTATATATAAATATAATAGGATAGAGAAGAGATAGGTTTAAAAGTATAACTCTTCAATACCTCATGACCTATTGACCACAAGGGGCCAGTAGGTTGTAGATAGAAAATTAATAATTTACACTAGTATCCTCTTTTTTCATCACTTTGCCTACTCTTTGTCTACGAGATTCTAATGCTCTTGACTTTTTCCGTAATAGGATATAGTTAACTGGGTGCTAAGATCTGTCCTTTCTGTTATAGTAATAAAACCTGCTTCACTAATCCTGGCTTAGGTCAAATTCCAACTCTCAGGAATGCTTGCATGCACACATAGAACATTTTGACCTCCAAGAATTATTACATTTATATTTCAACTTTTCTCTGAAAGCTCAAGGTGGTTTACATGGGTATCACTCCTTGTGTTATCCTCACAACAACTCTCTGAATTGGATTAAGACTGAGTGATTGGCCTAAAGTTATGAAGTGACCTCCATGGACACGTGGGGTCTTGAATATTGTCCAAGTCCATCACCTTAACTTTATACTGACTTTCGTATCTCAGAAGGCAGGTATAGTGCTTTTCCTGTTAGAGTACTAAGCAGTGGGAGAGACAACATTAACAGAGCTATTTCAAATAGACAATGTCTGGTTGTTCAACTTATCCACAAAATAACTTTCTCCTGATTTTAATAATACTGTTTCCCCTTTGTGTATGTTTCTCTATGCATACCACTCTGCTAAACTCCATTTTCTCCTAGCCTCACTTTGAATTGCATATTTCTTCTTTGCTCTGCCTAGCAGCTCTGTTCTAGTTTTTGTCCTGGCTTCCTCTTACAGCCTATTTTCATGATCTGCAACATGCCAGGTATTCTAGGTGAAGGAGAAAACCTGACGTGAGAGGTCGCTTGGCCTAGTAAAATGGCTACGGCTTGCTAAAAAGCACTGACCTGGTGCAAAAAACCACAAATATAGGAACAGCTTTTGCAGCTCGATAAAGCAGAAGTGGAACCTCAAGGAACAGTAGCGAAAACAGGGAAGAACCCCTAAAGTGAAAATACTTACGGACACTACATCCACTACTATCAGATAAGGCGAAGAGGACCTGGGTTGCCAAAGGAAGGGTGCTGTTGCTATGGGACATCATTATTTGACCAAGCTTGTGGCATTACTCTATACATTGCCCTTGCCAAATGGGCACAACCTTGTATTCTATCCCAGGCAGTTAATAAAGTTGGCTCAAACCAGAGAGTGTGGTCTCCACTCACTCAAAAGTATAAGGCACTTGTTTTTTTCCCCTTCTCAGGCCCCCCCATGCAGATGAAAACCGAGATCATGCTGCTCGTGCAATCCCAGAGATCATTTTTGCACACCTCAACAGAAACTCAGAAGGCTGCGCATGTAGCAGCATGTAAAAAGGCTAATCGGTTTCAGTGCACTGGTTGGAAATAAACAGCTAAAATGCAAAAACAAGGTATATTAAGCAAATGGCTGCTTACTTTAACATTTCCCTATATATGTTAACTCGTGGAGGCCAGTAAAATGCAGGTATGGGTTTCCCTTTTTGCATGCAAGCACAAGATAAAGTAAACAGTAATATGTATATATATTTATATATATAAAAAAACTTTTTAAATTGTTTTTATGATTGTTCGCCACCCAGGGTCACTTGGTTGAGGTGGGTGGCTATAGAA